ATTAGGGAAATAAGACAGTCAAAGAGGATCCAATCTCAATCCTTCCCACATCCAGTCCAGCCCAGTGAGGATTGCTTTTATCCACTATGGTCCATTCTGGTCTGCAACTCCCTCCAGCTTAACCAAGTCTCAGTGTGAACCCTTCCCAAACCTTGGACGTTGCTCTTCCTTTGCTCATCTCTGCCCTGACCCAGCCAGAATCCAGCGTGCCATTCACACACTGACCACAACACCGACAAGAATAGGCTCCTGACCACATGTGATAAGATCCTCAAACTCAACACTATGAAAACGTCTCTCCTCTAAAAATAAAAATCACTTCTCTCCTCCTGAACCTATTTTACTGGCCTTCCTCTCACTAAATTTCCCTGCCTTCAGGACCCATCATTTCCTCTGATTAATCCTTACAGCCCCTCAAGGCCAAGAGCCCCATCTCACCACCAACCCTGCTCACCAAACACACACACACACACACACACACACACACACACACACCACCCTTCCCAGGATCCAGCCCCTTCTCTGCCAAAGGAAAAGAGGGCCCCCCCGAGAGTGACAAAGGCGCCTCTGTTTCCTCAGACCTGACAGCCCAGTCCCATGACCTGTGCCCACTGACACACTCCCTCCTCATGGGGCCCAGTCTCCTCAAACCCACATCCGGGCTCTCGAGAGCAAGGCAGCCGCAGCCTGAGCCCCTGGAGGCCAGTCGTAGTTCTTCCTTCCGATGCCCCAGCAAGAGAGCCCTTTTCCTCCGTCCATGCTGGGGAGCTGTTTAAGGGGCGCACGTGTCTAAGGCTAGTCCAACCAGGCTATGTATCCATCCTTTCCTTGGGCACTGGGATCAAACAACATCCTTCATTTCTTAAGAGTCAGCATTTGTCTAGCATCCTCTCATCACTATGCATTACTTTGCAACTTTTCAGTTTCCACATCTCCCAAGAAGCATGCAAACCCTTTGGGAGTCAAGGAGAGAATGTGCACAGTACCCGCTCTTTACACAACCCTCCGGGAGCCCCTTCCCTGACGATGAGGCACCTTATGGTCACATGCTCCTGATGACCTTCCAAAGAAGCCCTGCTGGCACACCTCTACCCACTGGTGCCTTAATGCCCTGAGTTTTGTCCATTTTCTCTGAAATTCTTCATTCCCAAGTGCCCTGACTCAGAAGTTGCGAGAAAGAAACTCCAAAGCATGGAAGGAGGAAAGTGCCTGAGCCCTGGGGTGGGATTCCTTCTACCCCAAGACAATTGGTTCCATTCGAGGATAGCACCGTTCTCAAGAGGACAGGTACCTAGGGGAAACGCCCTGCGTGGGGCCAGCTGCCTCGGAAAAACCACCTCCCTGACCCCTGCTCATTGATCCACTGGTACCTGCTTTCCAAGTAGCTCCTACTTCATGCCCCCAAACCAGTTGCAATTTAAAACTCTTTAGGAAGAAATTAAATAACTATTCTCCATTGCAATAATACAGAAGATCACACTTACCTTTTGCCAAGACTGGAACAGTTGTTCAAGTGTTCCCTCCCACCCACCCCATGCCAGTTGCATTTGAATTACTTTGAAATACCATCTGGGAGAAATCATCATCACAAATATTTAAGGTTCCAATTCATAAAAGGCAAAGAAAGAAAACACACACATACACCCTACCTGTGATTTGGGAACTGTCCAGAAGAGCATTCCCAAACACCCTCAAAACACTTGCTGGCTCCATCTCATTCCTCCCCCAACAGTATTCTACCTCGTCTGCACGAGTCTCAGCGAGAAAGGAAAAGAACAAAGTGAAACTCTCCTAAGAACTCATGTGAGAAGGACGATGCCTATGCTCACTGCTTCTTCAGTGGCACAAGGAGGCCGGCTAGAGGAATCATTGAAAGTAGAGTCAAACCTAGGGGTGCGAGTCCACACGTCTCAGACCCCTGCACCCTATGCAGAGCTAGAGCGGGTCACTTACCTGCAAGCTGTTACCAGGGGGACTGGGTCTCCCAGGCCTGGTCTGCATCTTGTGAAAGTTACATACCTCAGAAGGTTAAAGCTCAGATCAAGCCTCTTGGCGAAATGTCCACAGTCCCTGCCGAGGTGCTCTGGAATTTCTCTGCAGTCCTGGCCTATGTAGGACACCTGGAAGTTAAATGGAACAGAAACACTGTGGCAAACGGAAATCGCCCAGCTGCTCACAGCCCTGAGTCATTGATCCGATGATTGCGGATGCAACTTTAAAGGCAAGCGCCTCACACACTCACACACACACACACACACACACACACAGAATGCCATATCTGTGGCTGTTTTTCTGATCAGATCAGCTTTGGGGGCTGCAGGGATTCTGCCAACAGATCCCCCTTTCCTGGTACACTTAGCATGATGAAGACGAATCCCGACAAAGTTGGACTGAAATTGGCCGGATTCAGATGTCCAAAAAAAAAAAAAACCCCATGCCAGAGCACGGCGATATAATCACAGCAATCAGCCTCTCGTTCAGGGGCCTTTCCAACAGCTGCCCCTCTGGCTCTCCTCCTCCACTGCCTCCCCCCGCAAGTACCCTGTTATGCACATTACCTCATAAAGATACAGCAGATGCACTTACCAGCATTCACCCTGCATGGTGCTGAACAAATAGGGTTGGACAAGCAAACCTTCCCAAACCGCCAATCCCATCTTATTACCACTGTGTATCAAATGTCCGCCTCGCTCTGAACAAAGCTGATTCAAAGGCAACAGGGCAATGACTCCAAGGAGCCTTTTGCCATCAACACCTCTCTGCTTGCAGAGCTGTGCCCCGAGGCACTGTTTTATTTATATTATTAATCTAGTGTGTACCCAAATATTAAAAAGCTAAAGTAAAATTTGACCCTAAAACTTCTGACTATGACAAGGTCAGAGGGTTTTTCTCACTGCTCCAACCACCCCGTTTTTGAAACCCATTTTCACAGACAGCACTCCAAGGGCAGGTTTGGCGAATCATTCCAAAAACCATAAAACAAGCCTGCAGGTCAGAGTTGGCCAGTGAGTCACGATACATGATGCTTCCCTAGAGGACTCCAGGAAGAATTCTGCCAGGTAGAAAGTCTGGCCCATCACACAGCTATAACCTTGATCCTTCTCCCACCTCCTGCCCCACAAATACACAGTCTTCTACACACACAGACAACGATATCTTGGAATGAGTAAGAGATTCCCCAGGGGGTTGTGATTCCTAACGGGGAAACAAGAATATGGTGGACATCTCAGATATTAGGTTTAACCATATGAATTACTAATATTCAATCATTTTAGAACTACAAAAACAGCACTTTCCTATGGCTGAACCTAACACAAATCACACTTCACCCTAGCACCCTCAATGTTTCAAGTCATCTCTCCATCCTCCCCTATCCAATGAGTACAAACTGCTGACAATACAATATCCTGTATTCACAATCCTTCAGTAACTTCATTCCTGGAAGAGAGAAAGTAGGGAGAAGGCACAGAAAACTAGTTGACTCTAATAAAATAATTTTGACTCGGGGAAAATACAGGCTAAAAAAATAAAGTGTTCTGAGTTCCATCTAGCAAGCTCTCCTCTTTCTACATGGGACTCATCTTTCTTCAGAATTCCTTGTGTAATAAATTAACTTCAGCTTCCGAGCCAGGATGGAATTCATGTAGCAAGGAGAGACTAGGTATATAAAGCTCAATCAAAAAATAATAATAAAGCTCAATCAATCTACAGACTTCAATTCCCCTCCACATGTCCACTCGATCAGCAGCCTGTTTTATAAGTTCACAGTGATCCCCAGGGCCATGGTGCTCACCATCAAACCCATCCCGTTCACCCTGGCATGCACTACCATCTTGAACATATCATCATCATTCAAGACCTCTGATATATATGGCAGAGAAGCTGACAATTAGATGTAGAAACTGAGCTCTTTTCTCATAGACCCACCAAGGACTAAATCTGGTAGGGACCTGGTTTGTCAAAACCCCTCATGTTGTAAACAGGGAAACTAAGACTCCAGACACCTGCCCAGTATAATAGAGCTTCTTAGTGATAGAGCCTGGACCATGTCCTGCACCAGGAATAAGGACTTCCAACTTGGCCATGGAGTTCTTACACATCCACATGTGGATTTTCTTCATCAACAAATGTCAATGGCACATCTGTCATATGTTTTGACTTCAAACTGAGTCTTCCTAACTAAAAGGTCAAGAACTACCTCAGGACAGCATGTTGAAGGCCCCAGAAGAGTGTCAGACGCTAGGAAAAGAAATGGATATTTGCTCCCCTTTATCCTCAGTAGGATTTCCCTTCAGACGAAACAGCAACACTAAGGAGAGCTATCACCACAAAGCATTTGAATCATTCACAACGTGCCTGACAAGACTTTCATAACAGCTGGTTTTATTGCATGGTCTTAATAGCACAACAACCCAAGAAAATTAAACAAAGCACAACTTGCTCCCATTCTACAGAGACAAAGACCAAGTCTCCAAAATTTAATAGGAAAACCAACTTGACAAGCCGCCCTCAGGTAAACTGGAAGCTTTTAGAGATGCGAGTTAAACCAACCATGTTGCAAGGTTCAAATCAGCTGGAACAGGCTTAAAAGCAGTAGCCATTGTCAGGCACTGCAACCGACACTCCTAAGATACAGTTTAAGAAATGCTTCTTAGCAGAAAACATTACCTCTCAGGATGTCATGAAGCTTCTTGGAGCACACACCCACCTAATGTAAGACACAGGTCAGAAGAACAGACCAAAAATCGTTAGCTTCTTCAGCAAACAAGAGAAGGGACGTAGAGATTAATCTTAAATGTCACAAAAGGGTATATCTAAAATGAGAAGTCATTGCATTAAGTCAATTATCTTGATTTAGACTAAACTGAGGAACCAAGTTTTATACTTTTAATTTGCCACCTTATATAGTTTGTACCCCAAAACTTCTACCTGTTGCGGCCAAAGGTAAACTGAGTGTGGGGAGGGGTGAAAGGATTAAGGAAAAGAGAGACAAGAGAATAATAGCAGGGTCTCCGTGGGACTCTGCCTCCCTGATGAGGAGACAACGACAGCGCCCACAAGCCGTGTCTTTGTTTTATAGCAGATGCCACGAGGCAAAGTAGGGGCGTGATCACGTTGTTTACAGCATTCTCGTGAGCTCCAACCTCACTCAACTACATGCACCTGAACTCTAGCACAAGGCTCGTGGGGCTACGTGTTTGGACCATAGGTTCAAGCTTATAACCACAGCCGTTGGCAATAATTGTGCTGGGAGGACCCTGCCCTCCAGCTGGGACTTGCACGTGGCAATGAGAGGACCCTGTCCTTTCATGAGTCCGAGGCTTGAACCTGGCCAAAACACCGTAACCACGCCCCACATCTACCCTGTGTGAAATGATAGCATAAAGGGACACCATTATCAGGGAAATTAAAACATATCAAGTTAAAGATCCCTACAGAGAGAAATACCAGAAAGAAAGACAAGATTGTCTTGGCAGGATCCCCACATATATACACAGCCTCTCTAAGGGGTTGCAGAAAATTAGTAATTTTCTGGCTTCCAGGACAGTTCCGGAGATGGTGAGTTTGCCCACAGTCACACAGAGAAGGTTTTATATACTTGTCCCCATCCAGGAGTGAGGGATCTTTTTATTTTAAATTTGCAGTACTGGTCCATCCATGTACTCAGCACCTAGTAGCCACTGGATAAAGAGTTGAATTAAACCAATATCCCTATGGGAGGGATTTATTATTCTGATGTCTGTTGGGCATAAAATTTCAAAAAGTTGCAAATGGTTAAGATTTCATTCTTTATTATGGAAGTAATATTCCATTGTAGTATGTGCCACAGCTTTTTATCCATTCGTCTATGGCACTTGGGTTGCTTCCATATGCTGGCTATTGTAAAATAACACAGTGAATATAGTGGTTCGTATATTTTTTCAAATTAATGTTTTGAGCTTCTTCAGCTATATACCCAGAAGTGGAATTCCTGGATCATAAGACAGTTCCATTTTTCGTTTTTTGAGGAACCTCCATACTGTTTTCCATAGCTGCTGTACTAATTTACATTCCCAACATTTGCAACAATATGGATGAATCTAGAGGGTAGTATGCTAAGTGAAAAAGTCAGAGAAAGACAAATACCATATGATTTCCCTTATATGTGGAATCAAAAGAAGAAAATAAGTGAATAAACAAAACAGAAACAGACATATAGATACAGAGAACAAACTGATAGTTGCCAGAAGGGAGGGGTTTAGGGAGGTGGGTGAAAAGGGTGAAGGGATTAAGAAGTTCAAATTGGTAGTTATAGACTAGTCATTGGGGATATAAAGTTCAATATAGGGAATATAGTCAGTAATTCTATATAATAAAGAGCTACTATGCTAATTAGACCAAACAGCCAAACAACCTTCCGGACAAAGCTGGGGCTGCAAGGGCTGAGCCCCTTGCATGAATTTTGTGCATTGGGCCTCTAGTATTGTAATAACTATGTATGGTGCCAAGTGGGTACTACCAGAGGATATCTTTGTAAATTGTATAACTGTCTAACCACTATACTGTACATCTGAAACTAATATAAAATATTGAATGTCAACTGTAAAAGAAAGTGTTAAATAATAAAAATAAATTTGCACCACCTGAAGCTGTCAGAGTAGAAACAGCCCTGGGCATGAGTTCAAGTCCCTCTGCTGCTAATTACCAGCCATATTACCTTAGATGAGTCACAGAAGAGTCGGTTTCCTCTTCCATAAACTAGTCATACACTAACTGCCTCCAAAGGTGTTAAAAATAATGTAACAACTAACACTTATTAACTGCCTTCCACATGGCTATTATCTATTCAATCCTCATGAAACAGCCCCATGAGTCACATATTTTCCTCATTTTACTTCTATAACAGGAATGAGATAACATCTTTAAAACTCAGCACCTAGTGGCCACTGGATAAAGAATTGAATTAGACCAATATCCCTATGTCTATCATTGTATTGATGCTACTACTTTGTCATAAACTGGTGGAAAAAGAAGATTGAGAACTTTATGCTGAATATGATTCATTCCAGCCTACTGAAGTCATATCCATGTTGAATAAAAGATTTTATAGAGAACGCGGAAGGAGCCTGGCCAGTGTGGCTCAGTAGTTGAGCAGCAACCTATGAACCAGGAGGTCACAGTTCGATTCCCAGTCAGGGCATAGGCCTGGGTTGTGGGCTCAATGCCCAGCGTTGGGCATACAGGAAGCAGCCAATCAATGATTCTCTCTCATCATTGATGTTCTATCTTTCCCTCCCTCTCCATTCCTCTCTGAAATAAATACAAATATATTTTAAATAAATAAATAAATAAATAAATAGAAAGTGGAAGGAGAACTACATCTCCAAGTGTTTGAAGTTGAGGCCTATGAAACTCCTAAAAACCAGGGCAATGGCAGTCAGTCCACAGAGGGGTTGAAAGCAATGGCCCAGTTTCAGCAGAACAATATCATCCATCTCATGAAGTTATTTTAATTTTATTGGTGTTATGGTTGGTGTCTTTATACTTAAACCATCCCTTTATTTGGAGTTTATAGGACGCTAAATATGAGCTTAGAAAGAGTTATGTCTGGTTTTACTATTTG